CAGCAGTGACCTCCCCGGGAGAGGCCACATCTCTGTGCAGCCAGGAAGACTCCAGGGGTAAGGGACTATCAGAGTGGAAGCGATGTGAGTAGAGGCTCCACACAGGGGCCCCTGAAGTAGTCTCTGTGGTGACTCTGCATCTTTTAAATTTCTAGCTGGTTCACTCCGGTGAGTGAAGAGCCTGCACTGGGCCTGAGAGGTGAGGTGAGACAGCGCACACAGGCACCCTCAGCACTGTGCCTGGTCCATAGCAGGCCCCAGGCGCACACGTGTGTGCTATGAGGGCCACAGTGTGTGAGGCATCTTCTGTCTCTAAGAAGCCAGGGGTGGGCTATCAACATGGTAAGGCTTTAATAGATGGAGGAGAGGGAGAGAACCAAAATCATGGGAGGGAGGAATTCCTGTCTCCTCTTATCCTGTATCCATGCTTTGTACCCCATCCTATCAAACCCTATACGTTCCATGTACTAGTGACTTCGGGTTGCAGAAATCCAGATGGCTCTGGAGCAGAGAAGCAACCAGTAGCCATTGTAGCTAAAGCACAGAAGAGCAGAGTTGCAGCTGGCTCAGGGATGTCCGGAGCTACAAGCTCAAATGCCATCAGCCTTGCTCTGCAGGGCTGTCTGCTGGCCAATGGCTAAGGGCAGCTGCTCGAGGCTGAACCTCAGCGGCAGCTCCCTGATTCAGCCTCTCACCTTCATCGTCAGAGAGAACACAGCCAGCGGTAAATAGAAAAGGCCCATGGCAGGTCTCAGAACATTTGCCTAGGCTATGTCCCCATCCCTTAGGACAAGGGCATGATTTCCAGGGCGCACTCCCACCCTGGCCCCTAGGACTGGTGTCGGAATAGTTCTCCAAGAGAAGGAATGTGTGGAAAGGAAGGGGTGCCAGACATGTTCACTGTGGCTGGAAGGAGGTCACCAGACTGGGTGACATGAGGCCACTCTCTAACCCTGTGGCTCGAGTGGATTTTCAAGGCCCCTGAAGGATTCCCTCCACCCCAAACATGGTGTGGTCCTAGATCTTCCTTTCCAGAGGTGACCGGGCTTGTCTGACCCTTACTACTATCGTGCTTCCATTCTTGTACCCATTTTCCTTTTCCTGTGTCCCTACCCACCAGATCATGGTGCCGGATTCTTCTCCCCCAGGCTCTCCAAAGTTGGCATCGTACCTCAAGAACACGCATTAAAACTAAGTCAGCACTGCTGCAGCACTGTCCGCTGAGTGGAAGGCTTAGCCCGGATGTCTTCTAAAGCCCCCCTTTTCTGCTCCAACATCCAACCCAGCATCCCTCCTCCCACTGAGCTGTCTCATCCAATGTATACTCGTGTCCTTGCTTCCCCAAGACTTGATGCTCAAAGGGCATCAATCCTATGTTTGGACCCTGTATGTGGCTTGGTCTAATGTTTTCTTGGGACTGGGTGCAGGACGTGAGTGCGGAGGGAGGCCACCATGGAGGGGCGATGAGCTTATAATGGCATCATAGAAAGGGCCCATGTGCTGTCACTACTGCTGCTGACCTCTGAGACAGCTTGGTTGAGGGGATGCCTGCCAGTTTCCTCTGTTCTTAGAGGCACTCTGTTATCCCCTTCCTGACCCTGCGTCCAGCCTGTGCTATACCAGAGAGGGTGGGCCAACGGCTTTGCCTGCTTTCATTTCAGCCTGTAAATCCTGGCTTTATCGGCTTCTCATACTGCCCTTGATTTTCTTGTGTGCGTGTGTTCATGTATGTGTGTGTGTGTGTGTGTGTGTGTGTGTGTGTGTGTGTGTGTGTGTGAACATGGAGGGAAAAGGTCAACAGCCACTGGTGTTATTCCCGCCACCACTGTCTGCCTTGGCTTTTTGACACAGGGCCCCTCTCACGGGTCTTGGGGTTGCTGATTGAGGTAGGTTAGCTGACCATTGAATGCCAGGGACCCTCCTGTCTCTACCTCTTTGGTGCCATAAATAATTATTTGTATTTTACGTATGCTGGTATTTTTGCCTGCATGTATGTCTGTCTGAGGGTATGGGATCCCCTGGAACAGGAGTTACAGTTAGGAGTTGCCATGTGAGTGCTGGGAATTGAACCTGGGTCCTCTGGAAGAGCAGCCAGTGCTCTTGTGGGTTCTGGAAACCAAACTGAGGCCCTCACACTTGCATGGCAAACACTTTACCATCTGAGTCATCGCCTCAGTTCCATCACTGCCTTTTAAAAGACGTGACTTTGAGAACAAGACCTGACCGCAGTCACCCAATGACAAGCTCTGGAATTCCTGTCTGTTTAGCCCTTGGAAGCCATACTCCTCCCACTTCATTTAGCCAAGGAAAGGGGCCCTCACGGTTTCCAAGTGAACTTACCTGGATGGAGTTCTTTAGATGAGCTAGGATCACTAGTGAGCCTTGCAATCAGCCTGTGGGTTTACTTACAATCACAAGATACAGCACAACAGAAAGAGTAGTATAGAACACACTAAGTACATTTTAGTAAAATTTGAATCGTGACCTCCTTACAGCGGTAAGGAAAACATCGCCCCCTTGCATTGCAATGAGGACTGCATGAATGTATATCATCCTCAGAGACAGAGGCTGACACACATTATATATGCACATTTATGCTAATGAGCCATGAGAAAAAGTGTATTTTTGATTGTGGACTGCAATCGGGAGACCTCAAAAACTGAACTCATAGCCAGACCAAGAACTCCCGGCCTATAGCCCTGTATGTGTAAAGAAAGCTTTATTAGCAGAGCCACAGTCATTTGTTTGTGCATTGACTGTGCTTACCCTTGAACCAAAATGGCAGAGCTGAGGATTTGCACCAAGAAGTCCTGCCATCCATGAAGCCTAAGGTCTTCACTGTACAGCTACAAGACCAATGTCCCTGCTTGAAGGGCATCTTGTAATTTGGGACACTAGATGGAAGAGGCTGCCTTACTCTCAGCAGGCCCTGCCCCTGAAGGTTCTTCTGGGTCTCTAGGGAATGTGGGAATCTGAGTCTCTAGAATTTCAATACCCTTCTGCTTGGGGTTGAAGTCTATATGGTGAAAGATTTGCTGACATGATACTTCGGTCAGCTTCCCAGCAGAAGACAGATGGTGACTCAAATTAGAATGATTTGAGGAATGTTTAATGAACAAGACGACCCATAAAGGTGAGGGACAGCGTTCGGGAAGGTCTTGGGGTGTAGGGAAGTGACAGTGGATTGGAGGCGATGAAAACAGAACTGTCACCAGCCTAGACAGGACACCTTACCAAGTCCAGGGAGGTGACAACTCCAGGTGACCTCTAGCGGGTAGAGCCAGGCCACAGGCCTCCAAACTCGAGTCCTCCATTCCTGATCTCTTGAGGTTCCTCAAGGTCACAGGAAATAGACCTTGGTCATCTTTAAGTGGAGTAGCTAGGGAAAGGCAAGCAGTAGGCTTCACCAGCACACAGCATTGACTTCAGAAGCAGGGGACCCAGATCAGCTCCTCTGGCCAAAGCATTTCCCATCATCCCTCCAAGTCTACCGTGTAGCCCTTTACACTAACATATTCCGATGGCTTTTCTATTATTTATTTATTATTTTGTTTGTTTGTCTGTTTATTTATTTATTTTTGCCTGCCAGAGTGCCTTACAGCTCACCTGGAACAATGCCCACTGCTAGTGCAAACACATTTTAGGGGAAATCACAGCCTCACAGGGAGGCAGAGAGTATGGCTGAGGTGACTTTCCTTACTATAAGCATAATGTTGAAGCCAGTCTTGGAGGTCTGAGGACAGCTTCCTTGTAAGGACACTTACTGAGACCGTATATACATCTGACCCCTCTTCCCTCTGAACCCCAGAAAACAGTCTACACAGGCTGAGACCAAAAATCTCACCTCTAGCTCTCCCCAAAAAAGTTTTTAGCACTATGTCTCCAGTCAATCAAACAATGCCCAAGAACCACAGCTCCTGCCTGTTGGTGGCTGCTTAATTTTGAACTCTGACCTTCTTATGTCAATGAGAATCCATTTTCTTGTCCCATGCATATGGCACTACTGTCATCCACTGGAGTCTTAGTAAATCCGCTTACACACAGATAAGTCTGTTGGCCCTTATTGCACTCTCCTCAGTTGGATGACTAGTGGGATGTTAACTACTTTTATCCAAAAGAAGCCAATTTGCTGATTACTAGCGTTTTGTAAACTAACCCTAAGAAATGGGGACTCTTTTGAGGGTGATGAGGGGGCCTCCCAAAGAGTTAAGAATTCACGTTTTCCAAGAACTTCAATGTAATTAAGAAACTCCCAGTTTCTCTTCCCTCCTTCCCTCCCCCACCTCAAATTTCTTCAGAGGAACGAAGGATTCAGACTCAGAGCTAGAGTGCTTGGGTTTTAAATTAGACAACTTTGTCCTGACAGGAACCGAGTCCCAGCTGTCATCGCTGATTATTTTTAGAGTTACTACTAAACCCTTTGTGCAGGAGGCATTGCCACTGCTCAAGGCAAACAGAAAGCCTTCACATATTATCATGACAGCTCCTGAGCCATCCACCCTCCTCGTGTTCATTATTTCTAGCCTGTGTGGAGGATGAGGAGGTGGCATCCTGACAATCTCACATAGAGAAAGGCAGCCCTTGTTATGACCCCTGGGGGTACAGGGAGATAAAGAGGCCAGAGGCTGAGCAAAGCTCAGAGCCTCCAGGAAGCCAAGGAGAAAGACTCCTAGGGCCAGTAGCTACTCTAATAAGGTTCAGATAATCCCTCATCTTTCCTCAGAGGCAAAAAAAAAAAAAGTCCCCCAGGAGTAACCAACCTGCGAATGACACCTGAACCTAGCTGGCATTGGCCAGCTTGGGGATGACATCACAATTTCCCTTCTTTGACTCAACAAAGCCACCAGCCCTGAAAAGGCCAGGCCCTGGCTGAGGCTCACACAGAGGAAATTTCACCGCAAGCAAGCAGGGCACCTCTAGATTGCTCCTGGGTGTGGAGACAGGAGTCTCTGCTATCCAAATTAGCGGGATCCAGAGAAGAAAATCATGGTTATATAAACATGGGAAAAGACGTACAGCTAAGGCCCAAGGTGAATGTCTCGTCTTACATTCACTTTATGCTGAATTACAGGAACAAATTCAAGGAGCAACAGCCAAATACTTACCTTGGCTTTAAAGAGTTCTCAAGAAAGTGCTCAGAAAAATGGAAATCCATCTCGAAGCATGAAAAGGCGAAGTATGAAGCCCTAGCCAAGCTCGACAAAGCCCGGTACCAGGAAGAAATGATGAATTACATAGGCAAGAGAAGAAAGAGGAGAAAGAAAGACCCGCAAGCCCCAAGACAGCCTCCATCGTCCTTCCTGCTCTTCTCCCTGGACCACTATGCTCAGCTGAAGCAAGAGAACCCCAGCTGGTCAGTGGTGCAGGTGGCCAAGGCCACCGGGAAGATGTGGTCCACCATCTTGGATGCGGACAAGCAGCCGTATGAACAGAAGGCTGCACTTTTGCGTGCCAAGTACTTCGAGGAAGTGGAGAACTACCGCAAGCAATGCCAGGGTCGGAAGCGGACCCGCCGGGGGTCGGCCAGAGCCAGTTTGAAAAAATAAAATGTCAATGAGTGGCTCTCTGGCTCTGGTGTCCTGTGTGTGGTTAGAATGCGCTTTGAAATGTGGTGCTGTGAAAGTGAGTGGTTTTATTGAGGTCCAGCTGGAGAGGTCCTGGGAGGAGGATGGCTTTCAGAGGTAGCTTTAAGCGGGGAATGACTGCAGGGTCCAACTGGCCTGGGTTGACAGGTGTGGTGGAGCTCATGTGTGAAAGTCGTATGAGCAGGAGGAGCCTCCTTGGGTTGGAATCAAGACATAGGAACACCGAGCCCGGTTCTAGTGAACAGAGGACGGCAGGCCAAGAGCTCAGTCCAGGCTATCATTCCATCCAAGCTGGATTAGGAAGGCAGGGTTAGCCCTAGCCTTTGGGTACCTCTGATGCTCTAGGACCCCCCTGGAATCAGGCTGGGGCTGCATTTAATGACTAGCTGCCACCCATTCCACTCCCTGTAGGTCACACAGCTGCTTGTGACCGAAGCCTAGTGACTGACTTGGTAATTAATAAACGTCCTAGCAGTTGACATCTCACAAGAACGGGACCAAACTGAGAGGGACTGTGCTCTGTTCAGGCAGCCATTTTGATTTTGATGGCAGTGAAAAACTCTGGGTTTGCAGTCAGGTTGTTCGGGTTCCCTCATGCCAGCTCCATGTGACTGGGTGGTTGTGTACATGGGTGTGTGTCGGGGGAGGGGTTGTGAAGCTCCTTCCCTGTGTGAGAACCTAATAACAGAGAAAGGTGCGGCATAAGACACAGCCTCGGGAGTCATGGCGAGTGAGAAGCATGAGGGAGGGATGAGGCCACGTTCTCATGCTAGTGAAATCCCCACTCCCCCATGGCTTACAGCTGGTACTCCTGCTCGGCCCTGCCTCCCCTCCACCCTCTCAGGAGACACCCTCGTTTTCTGCTTCATTGAAAAGACAGAGATCATCAAACTTTAAGTGTTCTCCTTTCTCTCCAAAGGCTACCCACACTCATCCCTCCCGCCTTGCATCTCCCAGGGAGCCACAGTCTCCTCCTCCTCTGAAGTGGGGTACAGCACCTGCTTTATGAGTTATCTTAGTGACTGAATGAGGTGGCACAGCTCTGAATACCTAATAGGTGGCATTGCTTCTAGCCAGTGGGTACGCTACCTTGCTAGCTAATTCACCCTAGAAAGTTTCCTCCTTCTTGGGTGAAGTAAGCAGTCAAAGGAACCGGAAGAAAACCTCTGGCAGCTGAAGAATGCTAAACTAACAATGAAAAGCAGAGGCTTGAGGCTCTGCCCTGCAAGCACAAGGCTGCAAGCACAAGCAGGCCGTAGATTCTCCACAGCTTGAGCCATCGTGTGACAACTCAACCTCGGCTGAAACCTTGCTTGTGGCCTTGTGAGGCCAATGGAAGCAATGGACGCACATCTAAAGGTAAAGATATTCATCATCGGCTGGCCTCGAACTTAAGGCCCTCCTGCCTTATTGTCTTCAGCAGATGCATAATGGATGAGCCTCCCGAGCCAGCTAATGATTAAACTCTACAGAGGTGCTAAGACGTGGCTCAAAGGATGCCAGCTGGCATAATTCTAGAAGGCGTTACCGGCCGCCTTGTTTCTCTGCCTAGTTGCTGCCCTGTCCGTTGTCTCCAGTCCTTTGTCAACGAACCCTTGGGATGCAGACTAAACAAGACAGCTTCCCCTCTGTCCGGTACTTAGACCCAGACTATCCTTCTTCATGGCTGGCTCTAGAATGGTAGAGGCCTGGTGGACAGTTGCACGGCATAGCAGACTCTGCCCTGGGATCTTGGGCCATCCCTTGTTGGTTTCCAGTGTGATTATAAGAGTGTGGGAGGTCAAGCCAGAGTTTTGACAACAGCATGCAGGGCCCCTAACAACAACCCCCCCCCCAAAAAAAAAAACACTCATAAGCTTTTCTGATAAAGACAATAGGAGGAGATAAGTTCATCAGCTTCTAATGACCATACTGTGATGACAATGGAGGAACAGGGAAAGCAGGAGGGAGAAGAGAGGAGCTTGTATCTAATATGATGGGTGAGAGAGTGGGCAAATCCAGTGTGATGCGCTGCTCTTGAGAAGACAAGAGACTGAGGCTCTGGGCCCATCACCATTTTCATGACCAAATTCTTCTCTGTGTACCTCTGTCTCTGGTGCCTCTCTCTCTGTGTAATCATTAATTTTCCATCTAATCAATACATACTTTAAAAAAAATTTCCCACATCATACTAGCAACTTCTGGTACTCTGGGCATGTCCAACGAGGAAGGGACAGAAGAGTCATCACCGGAGTCATCTACGCCAGGTGAGAAGACAATGACAGGTGGGGTGGAGGGCACTCTAGATGGTCAGAGGCGAGTGTGTGTGTGGGGGGGGGGGAGCAACTAGTAGGAGTTGGATTTCTTCCATTACATGGGTTCCAAGAATCAGTCAAGTCATCAGGCTCTGTGGCAAGCGCCTCTAGCTGCGGGGCCACCTAACCATCCCGGCATCTGTGCTTAAAGCACGGTTAAGAATGATGAGCCCTCAAGGGAAGCCACAGTGCGGCAAGCGCTAAGGTCCTAAGGCCAGAGGTAGGTGTGGCTTATTAGGGGGACTCGAGGCATGCCAGAGTGTCTTGTGTAAGCCGAAGTTTAGGGTGCTAGGCTTGGCAAGTTCATCTGAAGTATGACTGCAGAAGGAAACTGCAGAGGGCTTTCCGTGCAGTCGAGAGGAGCCGTGTGCTCCCATCTATAATGGCTGTTATTGATCATTCTAGAGTCTTCAGACTTATCAAGTGCCAATCTCCCGCCATGAGTGCAGGAAGAGGAGGCAAAGTTAGAAGACACGAGGCTAATAAACTCATGTTCCCCTCCAAGAGCAGAGATAATGAGGCTCCTCCAATGGGAATTGCTTGGAGTGGCCATAGCTAAAAACCCAGCATGATAACTGTGAGATTGCTCTCTCTGTGATTTGTTCTCCCCAGAAAGGGGGCTGGTAGGCTTGTGTGCCAGAATGTTCCAGAGAAAGGCTTCATTTGGGATCTCATGTTCAGGGGTGTGTTGGTGGGGTGTGTGTGTGGGGGGGAGGAGTTGGTCGGTTGTTCTGCACCAGTCCTGCACCTAGCCCTCCCCCTCCGCCTCCCCCTCCCCCTCCCTGCAGTGTGCTCAGGTCTCCCTGCTGCTCAGCTCAGTAATGAAGCGGACCTTCCTCTTGCTTTTCCTCCACCTGCCAATTGATTCTGCACCGGGGAGGGAAATAAGAATATTTCATTTATTGGGTTTCCCTCAAATCCCAACAGAGAAGTAGATCAAGGTTGCAGGATGATCGATGTGAGATGTCATTCAGCCACACTGGGATCTTTTTGTTGGCTGCACCGTCCGCCAAAGCCTCAGCTGTTTCGGGGATTAAAGCTCCAGTTCTCCAATGTGGAAGGCCCACAGACAGGGTGCAGTCACCAAGGTGAGGTCATAAGGGCACACTTTCATAGATAAGGTCTGACCTTCAGGTGAGCTGAGAGTAAGGCAGGGCCATTGCTGTAAATGTGTTCTGTGCGGGGGTGCCCTTGGTAATGAGAGATGGTGTTTTGCTTGGTCTGCTGAAGGGTAGCTTGAAGAAGGTGAGGGCACACACGAAGGAAGCAGACTCAGCCAAAGGGACCAGGAGATCTCTGAGTTGGGGCGCAGGGACAGCAAACTTTCGGTTACTGGCCCCCCTCTGCAACAGCTTCGCTTTTCTCACCCAGGGTTCCCTGTCTGGTCCCTGCTCTGCAGACTGGCTGGCTATGCTTCTCAGATTGTCCCCCTTTAACAGTGAAATGTTTGCCTGGCTGCCTGTCACCTGTGGGAGTCAGACATGACATAATCAGGCCATGGAGGCCTCACCAGTCACACTGTCCCTGGGCTTGTAAGAGGTCTCGGTGGCCCCGCCTCCTGGTATTTTCAGCCTGTGTTGCCCTGCCCAGCCAGCACGGGCTGCACTTGGAGACTCCAACAGAGAGCAGTGAAAGAGTGTTGGGTTGTCATTTGTGCATGTTCCCTTGTGTGGAATCTTGTTTCCCAGGTGCTTAAAACACACACACACAGGCACACACACACACACACACACACACACACATATACAGCGGCGCATGTATGAGCGCATGCATGCCCACACACCGACTCTTACTGGCATGAACTTGACAAGTGTCTACCTGTCTCTGGCCTGTGATGAGATTACAAGAGTATGCCATCCTGCCTGGCTTTTATTTGGGTTCTGAGGATAAAATGCAGACCTTTACCCCCCAACCATGTCATTTTAAAGAACATGGAGCCACATATCCTGACTTTAACCTACTCCCTCTTACTTAAGGCACACTGACATGAAAACTGCCCTTCAAAGAAGGTCATGTGGCAAGACAGAGGGTAGACGGTAGTGGCACACGATAGCAACTGAGGTACTCGGCCTGGGCCTCAAGGAACAAATCCTTCCGAAACCCAAGAGAGACAAACTGGACTGTTCCCAGACAAGAACTGGGCTCTGTAGTCCCAGAGACCACCTGTTCTGCTAAGATGAACCCAAGTCCCAACACACAGAACCTGAGAGGTGTTTCATTTTTCAAACCACTAAGGCTTGAAGTCCATTTGCTACCACCTGGACTAGACAGTGGGTGCAGAGTTTGGCACCAAGGTAAGGAGAGAGCTATGACCTGTAATAAGGGGGAATCGGGTGTCTGGCGGTGGGGGTTGGGAGGTGGGGCTGGAAGTGCTTTGGGGAGACTGTTAGAGAGATCTTCAAATGTTCAAGCAGAGTACTGAAAGCCAGACTTGGACGGTGCCTGCCTGTGGGAGCTCAGAGGAGGTGAGGAGCACATATTTGAAACTGGAAGGACGGGGTCTTCTGCAAGGCATAATTCGGTGATAGGGCTGTCTGAGGTTGTAAAGAAGTACCCAGGGTTAGATGGGATTTCTCACTCCATCCTTGAGAGGAAATCCCCGAGACAGAGGAAACATCCTGTCTACTGAGGGAAAGGGGTGTTACACATTAGGAAAAGGCTTGAAGG